AAGTGGTTTAAACATCTCATTAAAAAGGTTTTAACAGAGGTGAAGCTGGTACATGAGAGTCGTCCTCAGCAGACTCTCTGAGCTCCAACAGGAGCAGAAATTTCAGATCCACCATTCAGTGTTCTGGTTCTGGTTCTGGTTCTGGTTCGGTCCAGCTGTGGAGCTGTCAGGACTCAAACCCTGGTTCTGCTGGATAAAATGCTGACTCATCCTTTCAGTCCGATAAAGTGAGGCGAGGAGAAGCTGAGCTGCAGCTCGGTTCTGAAGCAGAAGGTTCTGATGAAACCTTTAAGAGGTCTCAGGAGGAGTTTGGTGACTTTTATCAAGAACTTTGATTTAGTTCCTCTGACAGTTGGGATGATCCGGATCCTGTGGTTCTGGTCAGGTTTCTGTGGTTCTGATCCGGATCCTGTGGTTCTGATCAGTCTGCAGACTCCAGTTCTGTCGGGGGAACTTCTTACAGACGTGAACTCTTCTTCTTCCAGTAAACAACCCGATCAGAKCCAGTTACAGTCCTGATAACGAGCCTGGACCAGAACCGGACCGGTTGTTTCTCATCACGAGGCGTTCAGTTCCTGTGGGACATTTCCATTTTAGTCCAAACGATGTTCAGATTGTTGCCTCCTGTGCGGGGGTCAAAGGTCAGAGATGTTTTATTCTCTTATTATCTGCAGGTCGTTAAACTCGTCAGCTGTTTCCTTTTATGTTCATGTTGGACCGCCCAGGGTTCTGGACCAGTCTGGTTCTGGTTTCCAACAAACTAAAGACTGGACTGCAACAAACCAAAGGTCACGACCCCTGAATCACAACAAACTTCAAGACTGAAACAAAAGTTCTGATGGGTCCAAACAAGAAACTGTCACATCTTTTTAAAACTTAGAGACCTTCATCAGAACCAGAGGAYCATCTTCATCATCTTCATCATTAACTGGATTTAATAATCAGTCATCTGCTGGCATTAAGATTAAATGTTGAGGTGATGAGCAGGTTAATTAATCTGGGAATGTAGGAGTGTGTGTGTGTGTGTGTGTGTGTGTGTTCTTGT